AGGAGCGGCGCGTCTGCAGCAGTGCAGCGATCGTTTACGCACCAAGTCTATTTTTGCTGTGCTGCACACGCGGAATTAAAGTGACAGCGCATTGTTCGCGGTAAAAATGAACATGGATTGACACGGAAATGTAGTAATTTCACAATAAATTGATATAATTAAGTCTACCATGTTTCACAGTCAACATGTGACTTTTTGGCTAGGTTTAAAACAAGGAAAAGTGCACATTTAGATAAACAAGGCAACATAATAGATGCACTTGTGGCGATAGAAAAACTAAGTTCTTTAAGACCCGCGGGATTGCTTGTAATAAATATTTAAATGCTAAAGAAAAGGCACGAGAGTCGACTGTTTCTGTCAGTGGTGAGTTTTAATTTAAAATGTTTGTGATGGCTTTAACGTAAGAAAAGTAGGCTGTATGCTGTTTAAATGTGTTGCCACTTGCTTGAGCAACTTATTATACAAACCTAGAAGTCAAATGCATGAATAATACGTTGTTTATATTTTTTGAGTAGGGTTGGGTACCGAAACCCGATGCCTATATGGCACCGGTACCTATGTAACCGATATGTACTAGAACCGAATCAGAACGCAGATTTTGGTGCCTCATTTCGGTGCCACTTAAATGCCTGAGCGATCGATTGAAATATTTGTCCTGGTTCTCCGAAATGGAGGTAAGAAGCATGGGCGTCGCTAGGACATTTTTAGCGGGGCTATAACGATTAGCTCCATAAACTGTACTCAAATTCGTGATCGCCTCAGAGTCAGTCCCCTTTAAATTTCATATGAAAACGGTGGCAGACTTGGTCTCCTCCCTGTCTTTCAGCGCGCTCTTCAATCCGCAGACCGCGGCGGCGCAGCGCGAGCGGACTCAAACAGAAATAGGGGACACAAGGTGTGTGTTTATCGGTAGAGTGTTATAATCAGGGTTTAAATTGGGCCGGGGCCGTCTGGGGCTGAACCCCGGCACATAGACTCCAGGGCTCGACATTAACGCTTCATTAACGCCAGACAAGTAAGCATGCTGAGGTAAAAATTCAAAATGAAAAGTTTTTATATTTAAAATACAGTTAGTTAGGCAACATCACTCAACGTTTTCACCATTACGACTGTTTAATAGTTCAATAAGCAAGTACAATAATATTAGGTCACTTACATTTTAGGCAGAACACAGCAAACAGCCGATTCATTGCTGAATGATTCTGTGTTCTGAACGAATCAGTTGAGTCAAAGTTTCATTAGCCCACGCATAAACATCTGATGAATCAGCCGCTTGAACGAATCGCTTAAATGAACAATTCAGTGACTCACTCAATAAACGCTCACTACTGAAAACATAATTTCTGTAAAAAATTAAATATAAAAATTAATAAAAAATGCATGCATAAACCTGCAGCTCAACAAGGTTTTTGGAGACATGCTCGCTTTCTACACATTCATCTTTCAGTCCAAGTTATGATGCAGGAATGTTCACCTTTCCCGGATTAAGTTTGGAGCTATGGTTTGGAGCGGTGAGGTACGAGGATGTGTG